CGACCATGTCCCTTATGTGCACATGCGGATGAGAATTGTGAGTTTTCTGTACGCTTCATGCGCCTATAGGCGAAACACCGAGGCCCCATATTCAAATCGTCGTGGCAGGACAACGAACCAAGGCAATAACGCCGACTGCTGGAGAAGGTTCAGGATAACTGGCTGAATGAATAAGACAAGATAAGATGCACGTAATCGCTCCACCTGAACTCTCGGAATGGCCTAACTTAGCGTGGAAAAGGCTGGACACCAGGCCACGTCGGGCATGGAAGGGTGAAGAAGTGTGCATTATGCGCGACTGGTTGAAATCCACGATTTAAGACCAATGATGAAGCCCTAGAGGAGGGATGACCTTTGCCGTACAAGTGGCCGTTTCTACGGCATCCCACATAAATTTTGACAGTTCCCGTAAACTCGATAAATTTTAACGAGGTAAATTGACGGCAAATGCATGGGAACGTGTTCCGAAATCTGTCTATTTACTGAAAAAGAGATAGATAGTTGTCCCAATTTTCAGTCGCAATTTGTCAAATCCGTTCCAGTTTGGACTTACTACATGTCGCGTAACGTTATTGGACATCATACCGTACTGTAGGATTCCGATCATTTCATTTGAAACCGCTGCAACGTTGGCAGTTACAAAGGTGGACTATGGACATCAGGGTGGGCGATGCGCTGTTTCCGGTGCTGCCGTGCGACGACGACGCCGTCGGGACCGAGCAGTCTCCGCTCGATGACGAGTTCGGTAGTGGCGTTCCTAGTAACAATGGTCAGTCCAAAACACAACCAATCATGCAGACAACTCCTGTCGGCGACGACGCGCGACTCAAAGTACAACCAATCATGCAGACAACTCCTGTCGGCGACGACGCGCGACTCAAAGTACACCGCGAGGCCACCCAGCGGTTGGAACTGGCAGACCGGGCCCAACACGCGTACTTTCTTGCGTACGAGGTCGAGTGTGAAATGGCCGACTTGGCGCTGTGGACTGAAGTACGTATGTGACGACGACTGGTTGCTACCGCTAAGCGGCGAAGTTGGTCCATTTTTTTATTTGTTTGACGTAGGCTATGATTATTCCACAGTCGTGGCGACTCGCCATTCGAAAGCACTTGGCGCCGATTCTTCTCCGCATGAAACTACACGTAGGCAACCTCATGCAAGCGGAATCGATGCTGCTCCCGCCATTCGACGAGCGCAAGCGCGTACAATTTGACCTGTTGCTGCAAAGCACCGAAGACATTTCTGTCGTGCTGTACGATTCAATTCAAGAGTGCAAGCGCAAAGCTATCGAAGGCGAACGAGTTGTGGCGGCATCGATGATTCAGCTGCACGCTCGACGCCGTTTACGAGTGGTATGCAGGACAAGTCTATGGGTGGGTATAAATGGCGACTCAAGGGACATGTGTGACGACGCTGTAGATTGGGTTTTACACTACCAAGGTCAAACTCACGCGGCTACAGCGCGGGTTAATCCCAGGCTTGTTCGATGGGCTCAAAGGGGAAACCATCATGAACATCACCGCCGACAGCATCACATTGGAATACCCCAAGACTGCCAACCGAAACGCAACTGGTCGTGGCAACGATTCCAAGCCCAACCAGCATTGATACAAGGAACGTTTTCTTTATACGTCATTAGTGTGCTTTTTTCGACATGGAAAATTGAACGGTTACTTCACACTGGGCTGTTCGTGTGCAAGCACGAGGGCTTCTAAATCCAACAAGTGACGATCTTGAACGTTGATTTCACGCATGCTACACAACAAAGAAATGCAATCAAAACGTCCTTGCAATATATATATATATCCTATCCTATACGTATATAGAATGTACCAGCGGCAAAGGTTGAGAAAGTACTCTAGGTTTGAGCCGCTAGGGCCTACACGAGATGCAATCTACAAGATAGTGGTCGTGTGAGCATGGGTATGCTGCACGGTATGCCACATTCGAGCGGCGTACTTCGTGTGCCATGCCCTTCAACGGAGCAGGTCCCAGGAAGTCTGAATTGCCAGGGAGCGCAATGAACACCAAGGCGCGGCGAACTTGGTTGTCGGTGCAATGGACGTCCACTTCTGCGCGATCATACCCAGCCTAACACGGAGCCGTAATAGAAGCTCATTCGCTGAGTAAATGAACCTTTTCACGATGGTCTAGCTGAGCCAAGATGGCTGGCACTTCCTCTTTCGGCACTCGGTAGATGCGTCCCCATGTTTGGGGTAGTTCGGATGCATGTGGGTCGACGTCGCGGAACTGATGCATATCGTCGGCGTGGATCAAAGTCACCACCCGCCCCAACGCACCAGGCACACCGCGGTGGTCCGGGCTGCCTTGCCAGAACCGACGATGCCATCCATCCACATACCCAAAGAACGAATCTTCGACGGGAAAGTCCGTCTTCCACACTACGCACAACAAATTTTGAGCGGATATTGCTCGGCGATCACTTACCTATCGAGCCGTCTGTATATGTCCATCATCAAGTTAGGTTAGAAGTCAACGCTGACACAAGAAGCATGTACTTACATCCGAAGATCCTACAGAACACCACCTTCGTCAGCCGTCAAGTCCATGCTGTCATGGAGTTGTTACCACATCGCAGCAAAGTTGAAACTTGCACTTGGTTGTTCGATTATCCAGAAGATTGCCCAATACGGTGCCAAAATCTGAATACGCACCGTTCATTGGCTATTGGTGCCACCAATCCCAAGGCGTTGTATAGACGAGTAATATTCGTGGTGATGTTGATTCATACTGTCCGTTTGGGCAAGATGAATGAATTCAACTTTTCTACTCCACCGATTTTGATGATTTCTTTTGCAATCGCTTCATCTTGAATTATATGCGTTGCAGCCTGGGTGTCAGAGCTCCAGCTCATGCGCAGCGTGTGGAGTTTGCTTGCGCTGGCACGCAGATTTCGGCACGGATCTGAACAATTTTAATCGTGACTGACACAGTTGCACGACACTACCCGAACATATTATTTTGAATCTGAGTCAGTATTACTATTCATTGTGTCAGAATTTTATTAAATTACAGTTTGGTTGTGTACAAATGGGAAATAAATACAATTTCAATTTAATAAACTTGACTTCGCGCCGAAAATTCAATTCAAGTTTATTTCAAACAGGAGCAATTTCAAGCAAAATGAACCCCCTCACACACTGTAGGTTTAACTCCTCTATTTGAATATATCTTTGAATTACTCAAATTCATATTGGTCTAAAAATTATGGAAGTTTCGAGCAATTCATTCCTTTTGCCCAAACGGAGAGTATCGCAGCAGCTGTGCGTACATTGTCCCACGTTACTTATTGGGTGAGTGAACGTGGGCGAGCCTTCTTCGTCGAAGCGCAAAAGGCCTCGTAATCATGTGTCCTTTCCGATCGTGCATATGGTCATTGTGGTGCTGGGGCGTGTGAACGGTTTTGAAATTGGGCGGTTTCGTCTACGGTGAATCTGTGTATGGTGCTCTTCATCTCCAACGCGGGTCCCTATCTCCCAATATCTGAACATTTTGGGGGCATCCCCATAATTTGGGGACAAAATCGCCCGGATAAGCCCCAAATTATCCGTACTGTAAGTATCGGTACAACCGAAGTTTTGAGATATAGAGTTGGCGTCCGAGCGAAATGGGGACAAAAACACCCGGATACATCCCCAAATTATCCGTAACTTCGATGATACCACTGTTGTAACATTTTGGGGATAGGGACATCGATACTATTGTAGGGGCCTTTTGGGAGAGTACACCACTTCGTCATGTCACAACTCAGCAAAATGACATCCAATTTTTGAGAAAAAAGAAAATAAAAAAACCTGAGATGAAACGTAAAAACTTCTTCCTTGACATGCAGTTCGAAAACGAAGCAAAACTGGTTCAAAATGAGTATTGAAATCAAGTGTTTTTTCTTCAACTTCAGTGAACGGGGTAGGGTAAAATTCGCTTGGTTTTATTGGCTGATATTCAGTGGATGACGTCAAAAGATATTGACACTTATAAATTCAAAGAGTAAAACATAAAAAACTCAAATATGTTTTATTCACTATCCCAGGACTCACGAAGCAAGTCAGAATCTGCGTCGCTGGCCTCGTCGCCCAGCAGCGCATCCTCAGCAGTCGAGAAGTACATGTCCTCGAACGATTGTGCTTTTCGGTACGCACCCAGCCAATGTGATGACTCTATGCTACTGAACTCTACCTCTAGGCGCGTGCGCAACTCTCCCATGTCTTTCGATGGGCCGCCGATGCGGTTCTTGACGATGCCCCATACAACGTCGATGGGCTGCAGCTCGGGATGATACGGTGGCGTGAAAATCAAGGTATGGCCACATTCTGTAGCCAATACCTGCGTAGCATACGATGGTGTCTCACGGTGTTGTCGGCAGAGGTCCAGCAACTCTGCCTTCGTGATCTTCGCGTCGTACGACACAGCGCGTGCTGCGAGCCAAGCCATCAGAGTCGCCTTGGGGTCCTTGCTGGTAGGTGGTGGGTTCGAAACCCGCTTGTGATACTTTGCTCCGTCCATGTGAATAACGCATGGTCCATGCCGCTTGTGATACTTTGCTCCGTCCATGTGAATAACGCATGGTCCATGCAGGGCCTGCAGCGTCCGACAAACACCACCGAACCAGTGCTCGAACATGTCGCTGTTGAAGTTGCCATGGTAATCGTCGCCATCATCGACGCTGTCAACTTGACCTTTTCGTTTTCGCTTAGGTCGCTGTTGAGATGGCCACATGACAAGCGACCCGTCGACCCACTCGC